ACCCCGACCCCAGGAAATCACATTCTGCCCTTTTGGCTAATTTCGAGGTGAGCGGCATTTGAAAAATGAGTACAATTTCCTACATGTCACTTGCTGAAACTTCTTTGCTGCACCTCAATCCCCCTAAAAATTATACATTTTATTATTTGTCGGACAAACTTAATAGTACACTACATGTTGGGCAAAGATCCTCAACGTCAAAACTTAATATTACGCTACAAACATTGACTGAACACTCCAAAATGAGCACTTTGTTTTGTCTTCCTGCAATCCAAGCCTCAACACCCCAACCCTCTGAATATGGAGTGAATGTTAAACTACGAATTAATTCGCATTTTTTTTTGCACACGTTCTAAGCGGGTCATTAATGCCTGCGAGCAGAGGTAGAGGACAAAATCTTAAAATACGGATTAATTCCCAAATGTTTTCGCACACTTAATCGTTGGAAGAGGTCACGAGGCGCTGTGAGCGGGATAGCAATGCCACATACTAAGTCATTGAAAGAGAACAGGAGTCGCTGTAAGCGGGATAGTCATGCCTGCACGCAAAGTTGGAGGACGCAATTTCAAACTCGGAATTCCTTATATAAGAGGACCTTGCCCACACTAGGCCTGACAATTGCGATGCATCGTACAGTTCTCACTCGCGCAGATGTGAATCATTGCAATTTTGGTGCATCTTTATCCATCAATACGGCAGTTGAGCGCCACATAAAATCAAAGCGCAGGGGTAAGGCATCACACATTTTCAAGGTATAGCATCTGATGTAACATAAAGGCGATTGAAAACTCACAGTAAAGGCGTCAACAATTATTATTCGTTGTTAACGATCATTTCCGCATTATATGAGATTGCAGCTGGATTTCGCGCTCGCTCACCCATTGCAGACCCGTTGTTAACCCCTTTTAGCGAAAAGGGATGCGTATTGGAAATCGCAAAAGCGACGACGACGAGTGAACATTAAATGTTTTTACAACCCTTTTAGCGATACGTTAAGGCGTCGTGCACCCCTTTTAGCAGTATGTTAAGGCATCGAAAATTGGAAAAGACTAAAAACGACCACGTCGAT